GGGATTGAACCACTCTGACTTTACCACTAGCAGTCCAGCACTTAACACACAGTGCCATCAGATGCTCTGGTTAATACCCAAACCCAAACCAACTGTTCGCTATCCAATCAATTCCAACCCTATATAGGAGTTTATGCAGGAATCCTTACCTGTAAGAAAGGACGGCATCAAGAAGCACTGCTTCAGCGCTGAATCTTGTGTAGAGGCACGGCTTGAGGAGAACTGACTGAATAAAGTCCCTAACTGCTGAGATGGTCTAGCTGCTTCCCCATGGTCCTGGAGGGAAGCAGCAATGTGGAAGTTGGTACTTCAAGAAATACAGGAATGTGGTGGTGATGGGAGCGACAGAGAGCTGTTGACACCAGTATCCAGATGATTAAGAACTCTGGTTCTACTTTGTCTTAAATAAATAAATATAAACTCATCCAGGTTATCCCTACAAGAAAAAATAGAGACGTTACAAAGCAGAGAGCCTATGTTTATGGAGCCCAACTAGTGGGTGTATATGGCCATCTCTATTAAACTGATCTGTTTGTCCTTCATGCCTCCCTTCTGGGAAACTCCCTGGCAGCCTGCTGAGTATTCACCAAAGCTGCAGAGCATTGGCTGGCAGGACACAGCACTACTGTGCCTCCAGTCAAAGAGGAACACGCCAGAGATAGAGGGCCAGATGACTTCCTGCAGCAGTGATGAGCTACCCTGCTGTGGAGGATCCAAAACCATTTCAGACTTTCCCAACACCCTGCAATTGCACCCTGACTCAGTAGGCAGGTGAAGCTGGGTGATGAGGTGGAGGTGGGCAGTCCTGTGTTCTGCTGAACCAGGGAGCTACACATTGGGCTGCTAACTGCAAGGTTAGCAGTTTGAATTCCACCAGCCACTCCAAGGGAGAAAGATGAGGCTTTCTACTCTCAACAGTTACAGTCTTGGAAACCCTTCGAGGGAGTTCTATTCTGTCTTATAGGCTAGCTCACTAGGCATTGCAATGGACTCCGTAGCAGTGAGGTTGTGGCAGACTTGCATTGGCAGAAGGTACCCTATCAAGACAACGCCTGGCAGTGGGCAAGCCTTCTCTTCATGAGTTATGTGAAGATGTGCAGGATCACTGGGATTCTGTGGTTGAGCCTCCCATGGGAATTCTACTCTGCCCAAGTCATTCAAAGTGAGAATGGTCTCCGCTCTTCCCACTGAACTTCATAGCCACAGGACTAAGCATTTCGTAGCTCAGACCACAATGTTTGGCTCCACGGGTAAACGAACAAGGGCTCCCAGAACTCCCAGAATTTGTCTGCAGCTGGGTCACCATGAATTAGGATCTAAGTGACAGAGAGAGTCCACTTTGTTGTTGTTTTTTAATTGTTTTATTTTTGCTACCAGGTATTTATTTTTGGTAAAGACAATGTGAACCCTTGGCTCCTAGGGTCATTTTTCACACTTTTATTTATTTATTTTTCACACTTGTTGACAAACTATACCTACTACCAAGGAGTGGATTCTGACTCACACACAAGTCCAAAATAGAACCGCAATGCAGAGAGAAGGCAGGCTGGGGTTCGGGCAGGACAATGAATGCAGCCCTGGAGTTCCCGTTGGAGAATTAAGACTCAACTGTGCCTAAAGGCAGCCCCAACCCTAAACTGTCCATTTCCAAAAGGCAGGAGATTCCACCTTTAAAAAAAAAATGAATTAGCTTAGGTTGGGTTTCTCTACTATTGGTCAAAGAGCATAAAAAGGTATATTTTAGAAAATACCACATAAAAGGGGATTCTTGTCTTGCCTCTAAAGTGCACAATAAAACAGCTTTTCAAATTTTAATGGGAAGGATTGCTAAATACACTTCCTCGTCTTTATTTTCACTGTAAACTGCTGTTGGGTTTAGTAGTAAGAATATTTTATATAAATCCAGTTGCTGTCATTACCACCATGAGACCTTCTAATTTCAGAGATTTTCTTGACTGGCAGACCCACAGTATAGCTTGTGCATATAATTGATTTAAAGAAAATCACCCAGAGGCTTTCCCCTGGCACGATTTCTGATTTTACTTGCAAACCACTGCTTCTGTGAGTTCTCTCTTTGACTTATTCTTACATTTTTTAATACTTATTTACTTTTAAGAAACCATTCTTCCTGGAGAGCTTGCATCCTTCCTCTTAAAGATAAAAAAGAAGTCCATATATTGCTGATTTTACATAATTTTCACACCTCTTAAGCTTCTCCAGGAATTCTAGTGTTTATTTCTCTGAAGTGTCATAAAAAAAGGAAAACAAACATGAGTGCAAAGATAACCCATCTTTTCTAATCACTAACCAAAATATAAAACAGAATTGATAGTTCCAGGCTAAGCTCCAGAAAAAATAGAATTGATAGTCTTGCTTAGCTCCAGGTTCTGAAGTGGCATAAAAAATTCTTTTTCCATCAAATAAAAGTTCAATAACATTTAGAATTTTGAGCTCCCACCTAATCATAGCTGTAATCTAAGAACAATTAGTTCTCACGATGTAGCCCTCCTCAATACACACCCACATGAAGAGATTACTGAAGATATGGATTCTATAGCCAAGTATGGTGAAAAAAATCAGATGCTGCCCAGTTATCAGAAAGAATGGTGTCTGGGGTCTTAAAGGTTTTCAGTGGTTCTCAACCTTCCTGATGCTGTGACCCTTTAATACAGTTCCTCATGTTGTGGTGACCCCCAACCACAAAATTATTTTCGTTGCTACTTCATAACTGTAATTTTGCTACCGTTATGAATCAGGCAACCCCTGTGAAAGGGTCATTTGACTCCAAAAGGGGTGACGACCCACAGATTGAGAACCACTGATTTAGATAGTCTTAGAAGCCACCATCTAAGTGAGGTGTCAGCTAAGTCCACATGGAAGAAGCACAGCAGCCTGTGTGATCCGAGGATTATACATAATTAAATCTAAGACTGGAGGAGAAGGGAACAATATTAGAATCTAAATGATATTCATCTGGTTTGCAGACTATGGAAGACAGCGAATGCCCAAAAATCCATTTGCAAGGTCCCCACGTGGATTAAGACGCTGGCGAATCCCCTCTGACCATAGACTAGGTATGTAAATAGCCTTGCTATCAGACCATTCATTGGAAAGTGAATTACAGCAGGCATAGTTAGGTTAAAAGTTAACACCGTATCATTTGATCTCCTTTTTGACCCATTTTAAAATATGTTCTAGTTTTTATTTTTTCTGCCTTCTTTTTGATTGAAGTTTTATTTTGTCCTTGTTAGTTTTTAGGTTTTTTTGTTTTGCATGTTTTTCTGCATATGAAATCCAGAATAAGTAAGAGTTTCTCAGGGACATGGCAGAGGAGGATGAGGGGAAGTAGGGAGCTAGTAGCAATGAGTACAAGAAAGAAGAAAATGTTCTCAAATTGATTGTTCGCTAGTCCGAAATGGAAAGGGAGAAGAGATGATACGTGGACGAAAACAGGCAGGAATCTTGCACACAAAAGAGGGAGACAGACTTCCTCACCCCCCTCAGCAGCACAAAGGAAACTGAAGGGCAGAAGAGAAGATATTTTCTGTCAATAGAAGAAACCAGGTTATTGGAGATAATGAAACAGCTAGGGGAAGAAAAATGGGAAACGCACACAACCCCCACAAGGGCCTGAGACAAGAGCACGGCATGGAGTCTGGGGTGCTGCCTTGACAGAGCGCCAGCATATGCGTACCTGAACGGAGAAGGGACACTACAGAGGACCAGTCCACAGCCGAAGACCCTCCGGAGAGCCATCCTTTGGTGGGAAGCCCACCATTCGCCAATATAAGGTCCAGTCTACGTTTTGCCAGGCCTTTTAGATTCGCTAAGAGCCCTTTGGGCTTCTTTTCAATGTATTCCCCTTCAATAAACTAGCTTTTTCTGTTCAAACCTTTTCTCCGACTCTTGTCTGAATTTTGTCCATAGCTTGAAACCTTCCTTGCAAGAGGGACAAGAACCAAGCAATGGAGAAGCTTGACAAGCTAAGCTCCTCTCGGGAACAGGATGATTAAACAACTACTATACTATGACTGAACTATTGAATTAGATGATTTGTAAATTATGTGTCCCCAAAAACCTGTTTTTAAAAGTTCGGGAACTTCTCTTAGGAGCCTGTTTCGACACTTATCAGTTCGTAGTCTCTAAAAGCTCGCCTACATTACTAATGCTGCAGGCAGTAAAGAATCCTCCTTTTTTTCTTTTTCTATCACCCCCTTCTATCTCCTTCCTTCTTTCTATCAAGGCTCTGTTTTCACAGGTATCTTGGGCAAAACCTTATCTACTGGAGAGAAAAATAACCCTCAAGCTCACTGCCATTGTGTTGGCTCTGACTCATAGAAAGCCCAGCGGACAGAGTCGAGCTGTCTCATTTGGTTTCGGATACGATCCGCTGGTCCGGGAGCACACCGCCTCGTTCTTCTCCCTCGGAGAGGCTGAGGAGTTCTAACTGTAGTGAGCAACCTAATGGGTTGCTATGCCAGCAGGGCTCTTTTTATAAAGAAAGAAGGAAAGAAAGGAAGGAAGAAAAAGAAAGAAAGCAAAAATTGAACCTTTCTGATGAAGCTTGCCCGCTGTCTCCCGCATACATCCGCCACCATGGCTCAGAAGAAGACCGATTATAAACGTGTGTGAGTGTACGCTGGAGTGCTTTCCTCTGGACAGAGAGAACAGTTCTTCTGATCTTTCTTTACATGCCTTGTATTCCAACCTTCTCATCTTTTCTTCATTCCTTTCCAAGTCCATCGTGAAAGATTCCAAAAAGGACTTTGGTAAAGAGGCACTGGAGGACTTTGGTTAAGGACTTTGGCAAAGAGGCACTGAAGCCATAGATAATGGGCAACATTCCTTCAGGGTTCTGTGTTGGGTTCCATTACAGGCAACCGACCTTGGCACTGTGTAAGCATTCTGGCGTCCGTTGCTATTTTGTTGGGTGGAATGGCTACACTGAGGTGCTCCTTGTGGCAGGCACTCTGTTACGCAAGCACTTTAAATCCCTTCTTTCCTGCAACCTTTATCACAGCCCATGTTTTGCTGCTATCTGCATACCGTGGCTGTGATAACTTAAGTGGCTCTCGGCCTTCGCTGCAAATGATACACTTTTCTAATTTGAGGTACTTTTAAAAATTCTGATTCCCAGTTATCATCCTCAGAGCAATTAAAACATAAATAAGAGATGGGCGCCAGATATCCGGGT